AGGGAAAATTAGGAATCACATTATTCAAAATGCCACCCTCATCAACCTACATGCAAATATAACATGCCTACCATATCTAAGGGGGAATATCAAAGTTGTGATTTAACTAAGACTTGTTAATAAACTTACTGCTGTAAATTATAGTTAAAACATAGTCAAAGCTATAATTTCACCTCCCACAGCTACTGCCTATGTTGTCATCTCTCTGTTCTCCACACACTGCTCTGTTTGCCCTCTCCTAAGTACAAAGTCATCTATCCCCACAGTAACTATTTGGCATTTGCACCACTTGAATGTCACATCATCAAGTCAGTTTCATTAGTACTGGCTTACTGATAGCATTTATATAGAGCTGTCTGTCCATCAAGGCTTGCTGATCAATCTAAAGACTTACAGTTTCTACTGTACTGCAAGCAAATAGCTGTATAACAAAACCCTGGAAGTCACTATGTCTTAAGGCTTCTAAACAAGAATCTTCTCAACTTATTAGAATATTCAAAGTGACTTTGATAGATAATCAGCAAATCTGAAAATAAGAGGTAACTACCAAATTCTTTTACAATAACTCTTAAAGCTACTTGCGGTAACGCTGTAGAAAATTTTAAATCAGCAATTCATCCTCCTTTCTGTCAGCCAGTTACACAGCAAGCACGCTAAGCAGTGACAGGACGGAAGGGTACAGAATGTAAGGAAGCATTTTCTATCCTGCAGCACTGAAAAGCACCTCTAAAAGAGAGAGACAGCTAAAGGTGCAGAATTTTGTTAACAGCTCCAGTCTTGACACAAGACCCAGGTTAGTGTTCAATACCACCTTTTTATTCTGGTTAACGTATTTCCTATTATTTTCCCATTCCTTTAAACGCAAAGCAAAAAAAAAAAAGCAAATAAACATTAAAAAACCACAATTCAAAGTGCCCTGAGAGAACTGTAAAAACTGGAACACAGATACTGCAGCTTCTCTCATTCTGCAAATCATGGCAATAATTCTGTAACCACTGCCAAAGACTTTACAGTCTATCATTTGCAAAGACGATCTCAAGTCTCTTTTTTCACCTGTAGCCCATAACCAGCAATTTGGAAAGCAAGCTAAATGCAAGCAGGTGTGGTATCACAACCGAGGGAGGCTATGCTTTGACTCTTTATTTAAAGGCCCATAAACTGAATCACAGAATTGCTCAGGTTGGAAAAGACCTTCCCGATCACCAAGTCCAACTGCACCCAAACCATACTACCCTAAAGAACAAACACAGGTCACCATTGCTCTTAATGTAAATCAAGATTCAAGCCATTAAGCCTGTAAAATAGAAACTAGATAATAGTTCAATGTCATTTAAATTATATGACAGCACATATATTCCATAAAGAAAAAAAAATATGCCAGCATAGAGCACTGCTTACTTGAATTGAGAAGAATCCACTGTCATCCATGTTTACAGAAGGCTGCTGCTCAGCATATGAGGTTGGGGGAAAGAAAATTAAAAGTCGTGTAAGCATAAAAGTTCAGAAAGAATTTCACATAAAAAAATACAACTGTATATAAATAAAGCGACAAAATATATTCTACTCTGCATGCTGATTACAACACCTACTTAATAACTTAATAATACTTAATAACTTAATACTTAATAACTCAAACCTTCAAATTACAAATATTTACTGCTTAAAGCACAGACAGGTACAGGTTACCATCTCTACCCCTGGCTTACTAAAACAAATGGTCAGTCTCTTACTCTTCTCCTTGCCATGCCTGACCTTCCTATCCTTAAGATGAGGATAACATAGCTCCTGTAGAAGCACTACAACGTTGTAGAAATAACATTTAAAAACCTCAAAACTGAAATGCTTGAAAGGAAGTATCAGCAAACTTCCAAATGTCAGCAATAGAAAATGAACCTTTTGTAACTATGAAAGAATAGGAGGCCTTTGCGACACAGTATTAGATTTTATGCAAACACCATGCAATGTCAAGTTCAGATTTTACCTGTAAAAATGTTCTATATTCTTCGCTAGACACTCCTCCCTCTGCCATTCTCATTCTTTCTTCCTCATCCAACTGCTGTGCAATGGAGGATAACTCAACAGGACTAAAGTACTCTCCTTGCAGCAAATTATTCAGACAGTGCTGAGCACACAATGAGCCTTCTTGCTAATATTGGAAAAGGAGAAAAATAAAACAATGTCAAAACAATAACAAACCGATGTTAATGATGCGCTCTGCAAAAACATTCAATGATTGTATTCCAGCAAACTTTTCCTCCAGCCCCCACTCCCCAGAATACTGTATTTTTTTCCAGATTTGTAACAGCGTGAGCAGTAGAATACATTCCTCTGCTCCTTAAATCTGATGACAAAAAAGAAAACAAACATTACATTTCCTGGAAGAAAATAAACTCCAAGTGAAAATGTTTTGGGAAACAGCATAAAAATCACCTACAGCTTGTCCAATTCACACAAGTACTTTACAACCATCAGGAGAACGGATTCTGCTCCCTTCAAATCATCACCATATGAAATAGGAAACTCATTTTCTTTTTTTCTTTTTTTAATCTTCAATTCCCAGTAACATTCTCCACAAGAGATGCTCTTGCTCTTTGTTAAACTTGTGCTCCCTGTCAGGCGTGGCCATCAAAAATCTGCTTTCCACATGTGGCTGAAGAAAAACAGAGCATTGAGACTTTGAAGAAAAAGAGGACTTCACAAAAAGAGAAATTACAGTTTCCCATGAAAAGCAATCTCTCTCTAAAAAAATAACTAACCTACAAGCACAAGACAGTTTAACACCAGTTATAAAAAGCAGCTCTCCTCTTTGTTTGTATCAACGTTCGTTTATACTAAACATTAAGAACATACATCAGAACAAACATGTTGGAAACAAAACAAAGTCTTCAAGGAATCAAAACCAGCCTCTCACCTCTGCCAAAACCTACAGAAAGTAAGAATCCAAAAGCGTGCCTTGTAGGGATATTATTTAAACGTCCACTCTTCCAACATACAAGTCAGGAGCACAAACCTCCTGCGGTCTCCCTTACAGCAGGAGCCCTAGAACTTCAGATTACAGTACTTTCTGAGGGCATCATCACTCAACTGAACACTGAGTTACAGCTGGACCAGCTGTACAGCCAAGGTACAATGGAATTCTGAAACCTCATCTTCCACAGCTCCTCCAGCTCGTGTTTATCCCACAAGAAACTCCAGACTAAACAGCAACTCCTGCCCTGTTGGGAGCACATTCCTGCTGCTGGTCCCACCGTACAACTAAAACAGGGGAACTTGCTCACAGTCACAGACTGTTTTCACCATAAGCATGTAAATAATTAGGAACAAATCAACCCTAAGATACCTTCGAAAAAAATGAGCTGCATTATAAGCTTAGGCCCTAATTTCTTTGAAAAGGGCCCCTCTGTACTTGCACAGAAAAAAATTCATCTTAAAAATAAAATGACAACCTGTACATACTGTAAGTGCATAAAACACATCTTTTTATTTTGTAATAAATGTTAACTGCAGTATTTCTGTGCAGAGAATATGGTATTTTTCCATAATCTGAAATCCCCTTATTGAAACCTATCCTGGTTTCAACAGCTGTCCTGCTTTCAGTGGTTTCAATCACTCAGATCCTTTAAGAGAAAAGGCCAATTTTTTAATAATAGGGGCTCAAATCTGCAGCAGTCCTACTTTTTGCAACTGTCACCCTCCTGTTACAAATGATACACTGTTTCAGGTCTTTGTTTAGTTAAAGGTATACCAATTCTTTGAATGTAGTATGCTTGATCATTACAATTTCCGCCGTTTATTCCAAAAGTACAAAGCAGTTTACTGATAAACCCTTCTTTCAGTTGCCAGGTTGATACGTGAAAGGCTACAGAAAAGGAAGGTATGCACTTTTGGTTAGAACTCATTTTCTAGTCCCAGCTGGAAGTTGAAGCTACTGCAGCATGGGTTATAATGGCTGAAATCCAGCTCTTACCCTCTGAACAGCAGCTTCATGATGTTTGCCACGTTTTGCTACCCAAATCCAGCTTGAAAGAACACTCTTCATGTTCTACTACTGATGTAAAAATAATGATATATTAAAAAAAAAAACCAAAAACCAACAGAATTGTACAGCTAGCTCTTTTTATTTGTTAACTAAACCAACTACTACGCATAAGAACAACGGCTAGAAATCGGTATCACCTACAACACAACAAAGATGCAGAGTCATTGGCAAAGCAGGTGAAAAAGAGAGCTGTACTGCAGTAACACAGAGCTCGCACACAGCCCGTACGTGAGAGCCCTGGCGAAGCGCAGCAGTTTCCAGAAGCATTTCTTCTCCAAAACAGGAAGCGCCGCTCAGCACGCGATGCGGGCCGTCCCTCCCAGCGCCGTTCCCGCCGGGCGGCACACCCACACCGGGCAGCTCCGGTGGCGGCGAGCAGCGTGTTAGCGCACGGAACTCGGAATGCAGAACCGCCCCACGTCCCGCTGCTCGCCTCCGTGCTCGGCCACAGATGAGAAGCAGCAGCTTTAGGCCATACCTGAGCGTACCCAACAACTGCTACGGAGAGCCCAACGCGAGAAGTCCCTGCGGAGGACATTCCCGCTTCCACCCCGCCAGACGACCGAAGGCGCTGCATATGCGGGACGCTTCATCAAAACGCCGGACCCACCGCGACCACTCACTCACCCGCTCGTGGAATATCGACTCCATGTTTATTGTCAACGGCACGGCCTCCGCCTCACATGACCCGCGCAGCCAATCGCAGCTTGCCTCCGCTCGGCCCCGCTGAGCCAGGCTGCCGCAGCGCCCCCTGGCGGCCGGGAGGTCCCGCCATCTTGGCGACACCCCGCGCCTGCTCGCGGTTGTGGAGCAGCCGGAAATTCCCGCTCCCTCTGTGCCGCCCGTCTCCGCGTGACGCCGAGTTAAAGCGTGCTGCGTTAAGTACTTCCTTGAAGGCTAGCTCATAAATTAGCCATAAACGCATTAATTCCACACCATACAGATTAATAAAAAAGGAAAATATTTTTGCATAGTTTTTTCTTTATTACATTAAGTCTTTCCTCCCCCAACTCCTGAATGGTACTTCTGGGGTCAGACATTTCTCAACTTTTGTGGGTTTCCCAGGTACAAATTAGCTATATAACTAAATCACCTTTCAGAAAGTAACAATGGAAATTAAAGTAGCACTGACAAATTGTAGGTGTTCTTTTCTGTAGCTTGGTACAGTCTCAAGATAAAACCATAATCATATTATTTCAATGCATGAGATAAGGTGATTAACTGAGCAAAAATATTCTCCATTCATCAACAGCCTTTATTTCCATGTTTTTTCTTCACCGGGCCTCAGCTCCCTGTGCAGAAAGAAAAAAAAAGGTGGAGGCCAAAGTTAGGATAAATGTTGTGGGATAATTAACACACATTTAGAATTATTCTAGAATCCTTTGATTTGGAAAGTTATCCTGACTTTTTATTCGCAACTGTTGTCAGTTTTAAACCTTCCTATACTGGTAAGCTTTTTCTTTTCAATCCAAAGCATCAAAAGATTGAGTCCTTTGCTACCATTGTTATAAATAAACCTCTACTGAGTTAACAGATTGATTTTTTTTTAATTTTTTTTTTTACATAATGGGACTCCAAAGGAAAAAAATCTAACTCCTTCCAATACAAAAATCCATTGCTTTAGTGGAAAGACAAATAGAGGTGAAAGTGGAAAAGGTTTTTGCAATGATGCTGAAATAGCCTGAAGTCATCAGGAATAGCAGAAAGAAAAGTGCTTGTGTAGCAGCTGCGTTAATTTTGTCATAAGCTAACTGTTTTACCAAGAAAGGAGACAGCAGTTCCCAACATAAATGTTTAAAGATGCTGCATTAACTTTTAAAAAGTAGATAATTTTTAATGACAAATTCATACAATTTTTAAATGCTATGATAATTTTAAAGATGCTTACTATACAGAAAAGCTGAAAATGAAAATTCAGTGACTGTTTCTCACTGAAGTTTCAAGGACAAAATTACAGTTTCCACATTTCATGACTTAAGAATTTGACAGAAAATTGTTAAGTTTTATTTATTTACCTTTTTCCTGGGTAAATGATGTCCTTTTTCCTAGCAAAATGATTTCTGTTCACCTCCATATTAACGTGTTTACTTTATATTTTGATCTCAGGTAGAGCATCTTCCTTTTCAATTTTAGATACAAATCACACTTCCTATTACTGTAGTCTGCATTTATCCAGCTTTCACAGATTAATTAAAATCAATACTTCTGATTCACTGTTGCAATTGACCATTTTAAACCAATTATTTTGGCTAAAAGATCAAACACAGATCTACATATATTTTCTTTCATGGCTAAGAGCACAAAGATGGGCTTAGAGCTAAATATTCAGAGGGCATCAGGGATCTTAAATCCTTCACAAATGCTTGCTGAAATTTTGGTCATTTTTCCCTTTAATATTTTGATAGAATTCTTTTTCATATGTACAATTTTACCAACAAACAGAGAAGCGCTTTTTAAAGTCTATTTGTGAAAACAACCAAACACATATTTTTAAAAGGCATGACAAAGCAGACCTCTTGTACAATAAGCTCTTGTTTCGGAAGGCTGACAGCCTCTCATCATTCCATCTGTCCAGATAGCATCCAACCACGAATCCCAAGGGAACAAGGATGTGAACCCAGTGGTCACGCACAGCTTGGGCAAAATTCACCATGGCTGCTAGAAAGAAAAAGCATAACAATAAGAGTTGGTAATAAACCTGTACATGGAAGCTGGTGCATGCTTAGAACATTTAACCACACTTGCTAGAATCCTACCCTGGGATCATACATATACAGGCCATTAAACATTTCCAACTAGACATGGATTTCATAGAATCAAAGAGGTTGGAAGAACCTCTGGGGATCATCTACTCCAATTCCCCCCTACTAAGGAAGATTCCCTACAGTGGCTTGCACAGGAAAGTCTTCAGATGGGTTGTATCTCCAGAGAAGGAGATTCCACAACCTCTGAGGGCAGGCTGTTCCAGTGCTATCACCCTCACAGCAACAAAGTTCTTTTGCATATTTGTAGGGATCTTCCCGTGTTCCAGTTAGTGCTCACTGCCCTCTGTCCTATCGCTGAGCACCACTGAAAAGTGCCGGTCCAACCATTTGACGCCCAGACTGCAGATATTTACAAACACAGACAGGATCCCCTCTCAGCCTGCTCTCAAATGCACATGCAAGTTTCTTAGAAACAGCCCTAAACAACGCTCGGGTCTTAGAAATGGGATTTTATCCTAAAATGGGAGCGGAACATCTCTCTTAAGGCATTAATGGTGACATTTATGCGAGCTCGGATGACAGAAGGCAGACACAAGCCGCTTTTCTTTCCCTTCCCGCCTCCCGCCCCGCCCGAGCCGAGCTCTCAGGGCGCCCTCTGTGCCTACACTCACGGTACCGACCCTCGGCAAGGCGGCTGCCAGCGCGCCACGCACACGAAACGCTACCCCGGAACTTACCGGGACTCACAAACACCGCTCACTGCACCAGGCCCCGCACAGCGGCCACCCCAAGGGCAACGGGCGGCGCGAGCAACTTGGGAGAGCCCACGAGCGCGGGGGACCGAGGGAAGCCGCCTTCACCCCCCCGGGAATGGTGCCGTCCGTTCGCCTCTCCTCTTCCTCCTCCTTCTCCCCGCCCTGCGCAAGATGGCGGCGAGAGGCGCCGGTTTGGGCGGCTGTGGGCGCGCGTCGTGAGGCTGTAGGAGCAACTCGAGGCAGGTAGCGGCGGGGAGGGGGCACCGCTGTGCAGCGGCCCCTCCGTGGTAGACGAGCAGTAAAAGGCCTGTGCGGTGCTCGCCGCACTCGTTCTTCCTCCCCTTGGACTGGGGCCGAGCGGCGGGTCCCGGCCGGGAGCTGGAGCCGCTCTGCGGGGCCGGGCTGCCCTCGGGCGGCCGCAGGGTCTGAAAGGCCGCAGCTATCGCAGCGCGTGCTGCCCCGCCTCGGTGATTCGCTAACGTTCGTGTCTAATTCTAATAAATTTCTAATCCCTTTCTATTTGCAAAAGGCCCCAAGGATCAGGTGTTGCAATCTGAAACTTGTCGATAGGTATCCAGCTGCTGTAGTCAGCATCACGCATTGCTGTTATCATGTGTGTCCTCAGAAACGCTAGCAGAGATAGCCCTACCTCTCAATTTCTTGTCTTTTTTTTTTTTTTTTAAATAAATAGCTTTTTGTTTTGGATTACTCAGTAACACGTCGTCTTTCCCTGCTCAGATCTATTCTTTAGGAAATAAGACACTTTGGACAGCAGGATGACATCCATCATCAAGCTGACCACGCTCTCCGGAGTGCAGGAGGAGTCTGCCCTGTGTTACCTGCTGCAGGTGGATGAGTTTCGGTTTCTGTTGGACTGTGGCTGGGATGAGAACTTTTCTATGGATATTATTGATTCCCTAAAGAAGTAAGTACTTTGTGCACTCTAAACATGCTTTGTGTTTTCTGAAAGCTCTCAAAATAACTTCTTGACAGAGTTGGGATACTCTGCAGAAGTTGGTTTTCAGATCGAGTCTGCTGATCTTGAAACACAAGGCAAGAGTTCAGGTGTGTGTGTATATATATATGTATATATGTTTGTATATATACATGTTGATCTCTCCCAGAGGAGGGCCGTGAAGAAAGAAGCTGGGCTTGTTCAGCCTGGAGAAAAGAAGGCTGTGGGGTGACCTCATTGCAGCCTTTCAGTAGCTAAAGGGAGCCTACAAATAGGACGGGAATCAACTCTTTGAAAGGGTTGATAACTGCAGAACAAGGGGAAATGGTTTTAAGTTGAGGGAGGGGAGATTTAAGTTGGATGTCAGTGGGAAATTCTTTATAGAGAGAGTGATGAGGTGCTGAAACAGGCTGCCCGGAGAGGTTGTGGATGCCCTGTCCCTGGAGGTGTTCAAGGCCAGATTGGATGGGGCCCTAGGCAGCCTGGTCTAGTATTAAATGTGGAGGCTGGTGGGCCTGCGTGTGGCATGGAGGATGGAAATTATTGTGTAGTAGCATCTAAGATGTTTTGGGTGTCTTACCTGAGAAGCATTTAAATTTAATCCCTGTTTTAATAATAGCTGTCAAGAATAATGTGCATGGTCCAGTCACTATGTAAGGGACCAAAAAGCTGACTCCTTCTGCCCAACTTGTATTTTCACTTGTTGCATTTGTTTTAGGCCCTTATGTTTTTGAATTATGATAGCTAGTCTTTGGCCTGAGTTCTTAAGTTATACCACAGTTTTCAAGGAAAAGCAACTTGTGTTTTTATTTATATAAATTAATTTTTAAAATGAAACTAAAACTCACCCTTGTTTTTAACCCAAATGTATTTTGATTTGATTGGCCTTTGCATCCTGTTATTTGTACTTCCTCATGTACTTCCTTTTTCCAAGAAAAGTTGTAACGTATTTTAGGTTTTTTAGATACATAAGCAGTATCATGTTTGCTCTGAATATACCTTTGGTTTTCAGTTAATGAACTTTCTGGTATCCAAATATATGCTGAAGTCTTTCTAATCAAGAACATAGTGCAAAACTTTTGGAAGTTCACACAGAATCACAGAATCACCCGGGTTGGAAGGGACCTCAAGGATCATGTAGTTCCAACCCCCCTGCCTAGCAGGGCCACCAAACATACATTCGTATGTCACCCGGTCCTTGAACTTACGTTTTCAGGTCTCAGTTATTTAAGTTTTTATTTTACTTGAGATTGTTTGGAAAAAAAACATAACTTTTAATTATGTTTTTAAAAACTTTATTCTGAACTGAAAAGACTTGAGTTCTGATGTTTGTTGTTCATACTGTGCAGTTGATCTTAAGATAGTCGTAGTAGGAAGTATGTCATACCATATACAACTCCCCACCATCTTCTGCTGTCCTTCTTTTGTAGGCATGTACACCAAGTTGATGCTGTTCTCCTTTCTCATCCTGACCCTCTACACCTTGGTGCTCTTCCGTATGCAGTTGGAAAAATGGGATTGAACTGTGCCATTTATGCAACTATTCCTGTGTATAAAATGGGACAGATGTTTATGTATGATCTCTATCAGGTATCTTTTCGGTTCACGCCTTAATACTCAACATCTTTGACAAGGTAGAGGGCTTGAATTTTTGAATATTCTGTGCTTCTTGTTTGTTTTAGTCTCGCCATAATACTGAAGATTTCACACTCTTTACTTTGGATGATGTAGATGCAGCATTTGATAAGATACAGCAGCTAAAGTTTTCTCAGATTGTCAACTTGAAAGGTAAAGTCCCATCAGCAAGTTTTGATAGCTTAGTGATTCTGTTCCCTTTCATTGGCAGTTCAGGTAACTTTTTAAAAGGAGTATGTTATTTGAATGTTGTGCATTTCCCAGGTGTCAGTCTACATCAGCCAAATGTCAGTAGAATTTCCATTTAATGAGGAGAAGGCTATGCCAAGGTTGATGGATTTTACTGGTTAGATAGGAAGGAGGGAGATGTTACTGATTTTCATACCTCATTTGACTTTTTTCCAAGTGATAGCTTTGGAGACTAGCTACTTATTTACCTATTATTTAGAGTAATAGGTTTTCATACATGTCATCTACCTAAAATATTGAAAGCTATCTAAGAGACCATTCTTTTTTGTAGGTAAAGGACACGGTCTGTCAATCACACCATTGCCTGCAGGTCACATGATAGGAGGCACGATTTGGAAGATTGTCAAAGATGGAGAGGAAGAAATTGTTTATGCAGTTGATTTCAACCACAAGAGGGAGATGTAAGTTCAGTATAACTAACTATATTTCTCTGATGTGTTAAGTGTGTATAATTTGTGTGATAAATAAGTATGGAAGTAGCGGTGCCTTTCCAGATGTAAGAGAACCACTAATTTTACTTGGATTCATATCAGTGAATTTGAAACAAGCTTCAGCCCTGGGTTTCTTCATTCTGCTCAGATTTATTTTAGATTGAAGCAGGAAACATTCAGAAAGTGTTTGTATCATGCACTTGAAAAGCTTTTCTTTTTATTTTGAGGAGGGAAATAACACACAGCTTCTCTTTGTCATGTAGGAAACAGTTTTTACAAACTCTGTTTTCTGTTTCTCAGAATCTTACTTGACTTAGAAGGAACAGGAACTCTTAAAACAGTGTGCTCAAATGCAACCCATCAAGATGGAATTTGCAGTATAACCATAGAGTGTAGCTGTTTTTAGGATGTTTTTGGGATACACAATATTTACTTTCTGAAAAATATCCTAGAGGCTATAGAGCAAGTAGTTGAATGTTGACTCTTAAAAATTACTACGTGGCTTACTGGATGGTTGAGATTTAGGAAAGTTTATGGTTTTGAAATTCCTGGAAAATGTTAAAGAAGAATTTGTGGGTTTTTTCTACCTTAGCTGACAGAATATTTCTCATGTCCTGCCTTCCTCCCATAAAATGCTTGTTTAGGAGAGGAAAAAAGGCAAGAAAATAAATATCGAAATAAGGTTTACTCGTTAGTGTTTGTTAGTATGGTTTTTAATATGCATCTCACCCGATTTAAGCATAAAAACAGAATTGTAGAACGTTCAGAATGGAAATGGTCCCACAGGGATCATGGAATCCAACCTCTGGCTCCACACTGGGCCACCCAGCATTCAAGCCCTACGTCTGAGAGCTTGTCCAAATGCTCCTTGAACCCTGGCAGGCTTGGTGCTGTGACTACAGCCTTAGGGAGCCTATTTCTGGCTTAATTGAAGTTACGCTAAAGAGACTTTCAGGGAGTGAGGAAAAGAGGAAGGAAGTAAAGTGAACTAAATTGAACCTGTTTTTTTCTAGTAATTGTAAATATTTATACAGTTGATAATAAATATTTACTATATTAACCTCCTTGGAACTACTTGTTTAATCAGACTGACTCTTGGACGTCTTCTTATTCTTGGCCTGAAGTATTTTCTTTAAGCAGCTCTTTGATTTGCTTATATGTGATACCCTATTTTTTCCACTGTTGAAATATACATGGAAAACTGTATGTTCACTGTCTTATTTTTTCCTTGTAAAATAGAAATGCTGACAGTGAGTTCTGGCCTTTTTTTCCACAGCCATCTGAACGGTTGTTCATTGGAAATGCTGAGCAGGCCTTCATTGCTTATTACAGATTCATTTAATGCTACTTATGTACAACCCAGGAGGAAACAAAGGGATGAACAGCTACTAAGTACGTATTCTGTTTGGGGCTCAAGATAGCAGTAACAGTTTGATTTATTAGCCACTGTAAATTGTTTTTTTTGTTTGTTTGTTTGTTTGTTTGTTTTTAAAGAAGTTTGCTAACATCTAAATTAAGAATCTTTATTCAATTTTAACAACTTTGAATTGCTTTTTCCTGATGGTACTAACCCTGTGGGGAAAATGTTTTCATAAAAACAATGACTTGCAGTCATGTGAAAGTCAAGTGTATGTGAAAATAGTGTATTTTACCCAGTAATGTTTGACTTGAGGGATTTTTAAATGACTTTCCTTAGCACATTCTTCTATTAATCTCCATTTTACTGATGTTTGAAAAAAAGTTATTGTAAAAATTAGTAATCAAGGTGGTGGGATCTTCAAAGCTCTAGATGTGGTTAAAAGTAGTTCTTTCTGTTTTA